TAGGATGTCAGGTGTCATGACATTTGGTATATCAGGTGTGATGTCAGTTAGAATGACAAATTAGATGTAAGGTGGTATGTCCAGTGTAAGTAAAATGGAAGGTCAGGTGGGATTTCCGGTATGATAGCAGGTGGTACATCAGTTTGTGTGAATGGTGATATGTCAAAAGGGATGACAGTTGGTATGTCAAATGGTGTATCACGTGGGATGTTGGGTAAGATAACACATGGTATTTCAGGTGGTATGGCTGTTGGTATGACATTTGGGGTATGAGATGGAATTTCAAACATGACTTTGTGTTTTGTGGAGCAGAAAATCTGTATTATTTTGTTTTCATTCTTCCTTCTCCCTTTAGATTATTAATGAAAGAAATATTGTGATGTACTAATACAGCGGTTCTCAAACCGTGGGTCGCAATCCCTTTGGGGGTCGAAGTTTTGTTTCTAGTTTTGTCTTGTCTGCTGAAAAAGACATCTAGGTTAAATGTGCTGTTAATTGATTGTCTTTTCATTACAAGCCTAAACATATTGTGGTTCAATATTTCCTACCACTACAATTCTATATCTATTTTGACACATTTTTTTGCTGAGATTTCCACGTAACACTCGTAGTAGTATCACACTTCCTCTGTTAAAAAAGAGGGGGGGGGGTAGTTTTCTTAGTTGGTCTATTGGATGAGCTAAGAGACCATTGTGTTAAATAAATTTTAAAAAAAACACAAAAAACAAAACACAGACTATAGCTAAGTCGACACAGTCTACTAACTGCAGGAACCAATGAACACTCACTTTACAATCGAAAAGGAAATTGTATTCAACACTTTATTTTACGTAGAATATAAAAGACAATCAATAAGAATAGCCATTCAAAAGATGAGGCATGTACATTAAATACACAGAGGTAATTAAAACTTTCAAATATGGCAACGGCAAGGTCAAAAATAATGTTGGCTAAAATATGGCAGCCACAAACTGTTCAGAAATTAGAATTATGAGATGGAAATAAACATTAGGATACCACCTGAATCTTTTATAACGATGAGGAAGTAACACATGATATCATATAAATGTCAAATGATTATATGTTTCTGGAGGATAAGTCAAAACGCGTCATCCTACACATGGGTGCCAAGCACAGTGCAGCCAACCTTTTAAAAGGCTTCTATGGATTGGACATGCCTATTTGGAAATTAGAATTAGATTGTGTAGGGATTGTATTATATCATTACCATGCGATCAGCTCAGATAAAACCAAAACAATTTATAACGTTTTTTTCAAAAATCTTATTTTTCTGCATGAACAAATTGTAAATAACAACATAAATTGAGGGAGTATAACTATCGTATTACTAAGAAGCGTTTTTTTCCATTGATACTCCTTAGATGGTGTAATATAACACTAGTGGTTAAATCTTATTGGTTTGAAAATTTCATTGATCAAAATAGCTCCTTCCTTAAAGTACAAAAAGATAGTATTTAAATAACAAGAACATTAATAAACAATTATAAATGACATGCATGCAGTTGTACATTATTAAGTATACAAAGAAAGTATGTGTCGTTAGGTTCAGGTGACACTGTAAACACATCTTATACACACTAAACAGTTATAAATTATTTTTAAAAAAAATAATATGTACAATATCATCAATGACAAGCTGGAGGTCCTTTGAATACGTGATTATCACAAATAATATCACTGGTAATACGGACAATATATATATATATGTATATATATATATATATATATATATATATATATATATATATAT